AGTGGCAGTTTCTTCAGCTTTTGTTTCCAGCTCAAATTTTGTGCCATTTCATTTCCAACTTAACAAACAGGAAGTAAAGGGACAAAAAATTGCGATTTTTTTTTTAAAACTCGGTGAATGTAAGACTGAATTGGGGGAAAAAGCATGTTGATTTGTTCAGATCATATTCTCTGTATTTTTCATCAGACTTAATTTCTTTGGACATTTCTAAATAAAAATAGCTGCAGATTGGTGACAAAATAAATACAAAAAAACACTGAACCCCATATAGTGAAAGGATCGGATTGTTCTATTATGCATTAGGGGCCATTGTGCTGCTTTTTCTTTGGTTCAAAAAGCTTGAAAATCACAAATGTAGGTATGTTGTGAGAGGAAGGCAGAGAAAACTTGGATGAGTGGCAAAGGTGAAAGGAGACCCACGCTTTCTTTGTAACCGAAAAACTGAACATACTGGTGAACAACAGCATCATATACTTTAGTTCAAGGGAATCAAACCGTGGGTGTTTATATAAGTCCTACAAATGATGAGAGTATTTGAGAGCACTTTTTAAAAACAGGTTGAGGCCTTCCAAAAACAGCAACTGCAGAGAAAAGCTTAAATTTACCTCAGATGAATCTAATCTGCTGGTGAATACATTGCAGGCTAATCATATACTATTACCTTATGGGTACAATTTATCAGGCAGAAAATGTAAACCAGTGTCTTCTACTGTGGGCTTTCTTTTCTTGGTTCTGTTTATTTTGACTCAGTTCAAGGTAACTGGCTGAGCTGCAGTGTGTTAGACATCAGCAGAGCAAAACTGTTGTGCTGTGATTAACTGGCTAGTTAGCGACTCCTCTGATCTCAGATAATAGTTTGAGTACAAAAACACCCTCATGTCATTACTCAGAAATACCCTTGGAAGTGACCACATACTGCAACCATCTTGTAATGTTTTCTCATTTTCATTCAATTACATTTAACAGCAAAAAAAAAAAAACTGTCCTTGTGGATTGTAATGTCTTGGCTGTGTTCTGTGTATCTTTTATAACACTGTGCTGCTCGTAACAGATAGACGAGCTTAGGAATTAAAAAAAGGATTTCACCTGAAAACTCACAGAGCTTTTTACTTTGTGTACTGTTTATATGTGCCACTAAAATGCTGCATATGTACTGCTGAAATAATAAAATGTAGATTTGTTTAAACAGGTGAACTTCATTATTTCTGCAGATTTGTGGAGGGGAATTGGAAGCAGGAAATCTCAGCACGTCAGCAGGTGAAAAGAAAAGAGAGGGAGGAAGTTAAGATGGACGTGTGTGTGTGTGTGTGTGTGTGTGTGTGTGTGTGTGTGTGTGTGTGTGTGTGTGTGTGTGTGTGTGTGTGTCACAGAAATCACACAGCTGAGGCATGTGGAGGTGTACAGCACATGGGTGTTTTCACTGACAGCTTCTAGCAGTAATCACGTGTATGATTGTTTCCAAATGCGAAACGAATGTAAAAATGACTGGATGAAAAATCACCCCGTGGCCGGCAGTCGGAATAAAGGCTGTGAAGTCGTGTAAACATGGTTTCAGTTATCTTGCAGGAAAGTAAGACTTTAACTTTTTATTTGATACATCAAAGTATGAAGGTATGCAAGAGGGACTACTTTGACACACATGTAGACTATTGTACTGATGTTTCAAGTAGATTTTTTGTCTCTAACCACACAATCAGATGTTTTCTGATAGTGAGTGAGGGGGTTTTTTTTCCAGAGAGAGCAAATGTTTTTAATATATTGATCATTTTGAGCCATTTTAGTTCACAATGGAGAGATTTGATGAAACTAAAATAATAATTTTAGTCAATTTTAGTCCATAGAATAGGCTGGAAAATCATGGGAATGCCTTTGCCTGTTCACATCTCTGTCTGTTGTAATATCACACCCCGATTGTGCCAATGAGTGTAATCAAAGGATGAAAACTAACATTTTGTACCCAAAAAACTATTGAGTATGGATGCAGTCATTTTGTAAATGATTTGGGGGAAAAAAAAATTTAAAAATACAAGATAAATTATTGGTTCTCTTATTATTTTTAGTTTTTACATACAGAATAATTACCTAGTTCAATTACAGAGCCAATGCGCAACACCACCCACCTCAAAGTGCTTTATATAAGCAGCTAGGCCATACAATGCCAGAGAGAGAAGTCCAAAAATCACTCCTGTTCAATAGGAAGAAACATTCAGCAGAACCAAGCTCTTAGGTTAAAGAAAAAACATAAAAGAAGAAGGAGGATCAACAAAACACAGACCACAGGACAGAGAGGGCATTGTAACTGACGTGCAGCGGTGGCACACGTGGAGAGTGGAGCAGAAATGCTGTGCCTATCATGGAAAGGCCTCCAACAGTCTGATGTAAGATGCACAACTAAGTGATGCTTCAAAAAGGAAGACTTTAAGGCTAACTTTAAAAATACAGGGGTTGTCTGTCTCCTATATCCAAAGTGTAAATGGTTCTACAAGAAAGGAACCTGAGACTTGAAGGCTCTGCCTCTCATTCCACTTTTAGAGGCTCTAGGAACGACAAGCAAGCCTGCAGTCTTTGATCAAAGTGCTCTACTGGGATAATATGGCACAGTGAGATCTGTAAGTTATCATGACACCTGATAATTCAAAACTTTGTATCTCAGGAGAAAGATTTTAACATTAGAACCACCTGTGTAATACTGTGAGGCTGAACTACCATAGATGGACACGAGACTTTGACAGTGAATTCTTTCAGGAGGTTGGAGCATTCATGGATTGTTGTAAGCAGTTTGTGCCGTTAACACAAGGGACACTTCCCAGTCACAGTAACAATCCATGCCAGAACCATAGACTGTATATAAAACATGAATGTAGCTTTGGCGTTTGGAAAGTGAAGCCAATAATTCAGCTTTCATTATTCCTGATGGCCATGAGGAGGGGACTCGTTTGGTTTCGAAAATAATTCTTCTTCTATGGAAGTCTGGAAAACAAAGACTTTGATCCACAACCTCAGGAAACACTTTGCTGATGAATTTGTGGCCAGAGTCACTAGTTTCAAGTCTTGTTTAATACAATGTGACTTTCATTGTATAAATTATGTTCTCCTTTGTGTAACTGACAGCTTGCAAGCCTTTCAGTGTGTGCCTCAATTTAACAGTGAAATCCACACTCACTTGTCACATGTCAGATTCAACATGTCAAGACTGTGACGGCAAAACTGCACAGCAATCTATGGCATAATGTTGCTTTCTAAAGATATGATCAGTGTTTTGTTTTGGGGGTTTTTATATATATATTTTTTTCTCATTGTTTTTTCTCAATTACAATACATGAGATTATTTTCTTGTTCATCCCATAAGAGCACTCAGTTTCATAACAAGAAACCGAGGGTTCTTCATGTCTGGTTCAGACATGAAATTAACCAAAACATTGGTCCAACTCATGCATTTGCCACAACAAAGAAGGCAGATGTTGTAAATTCTCCTCAGCATCAACTCCACATGCCATCCTCCCTATTCTTCATCTCATTACTTGGCATATATAATCTCTGGTTATACTGTGGCTTGTTTGGGCAGGAGACAGAGTGAACTATAAAGTGTTTTATACAAGCTGAGGAGTGGAGTTAAACTGGAAGGCAGTCTCTGCATGTTTGCAGTATGGAAACAATTCTTTCATGAGTTGCAATTCTGTTTGATTCCAGATGAAAAAAGCCACAGGGAGAGAAAGACGCATATGAGTCTTGACACATAAATCCTGGATGATGATGCACTTGAAGTGCCATCCTAACCCATCCAAAAACACTACATTTAGCAAAAATATATTCTGTGCATTTCTTTTTCTAAGCAATAATGATTCTGAACAAGCAGGATAGAAATTCTTCTAGTTATATTCAAGGATCCACATACTTTTTTATGATCTTGTGCATGAAAGTCCTGAATCCTTTCAGACTTCATCTAATCACATGGCAGCCACTTGATGCATTTTAGACATTTGGTCAAGACGACCTGCTGAGGTTCAAATTTAGCATTGGAGTTGGGAAGAAAAGTGAGTTAAGTAACTTTAAACTTTGCATAGTTGTTGGTGTAAGACAGGCTGGTCTGAGTATTTCAGAAACTGTTGATCTGCTAGGATTTTCTCACAAAACCATCTCTGGGGATTAAAAAGAGGAACATTTGCAGTGAGCAGCAATCCTTTGAGTAAAAATACCTTGTTGACGTCAGAGGTCAGAGGAGAATGGCGAGACTGCTTCAAGATAATAGGAAGGTAGCAATAACTCAAATAACCACACATATCAACCAAGGTGTGTAGAAAGGCATCTCTGAATGAATAACACGTTGAATCCTGAAGCAGATGGTCTACAACAGCAGAAGACTACATTCGGTCCCACTCCTGTCAACTAAGACAGCACAGGCTCACCAAAAATGGAAATTAGAAGACTGGAAAAACAATGTGAGCAAGATTCAGAAGGTAGGGTCAGAATTTCGCATAAAAAACACGAAAGTGTGTCTCCGTCATGCCTTCTTCAGGCAGTTTTGTTATACTATTGGATGTAAATTACTTTAGGTGAATGGAATGTTTCTAAAGGACCCCTAAAGGACTCCCTAAGGACCCCAAAGCTCTTTACATATCCAGTCATCCACCCATTCACACACACATTCACACAATTTTTTTTTTAAATCACAACTTATTATCATCCTGCTTTAAGTCTAATCTCTGTACTCAAATAATTACACTAAGTCATGCAACTGTTTTGTGTATGTTTTTGACCGTGAAGCACGTTTTCTTTCTGGCTGCTTCTCTGTGGTATGACCAGAAACTAACTCATCCTTATTCTAGAAAGTGAACCACAACATGTGGCAACAGAGCCCATGAACATGAG